CCAGAGATGTGAGGAGGAAGAGAGACGGTTGGGGGGGGATAGGGAGATGCTCCTAAGTAGTAGAGCACAAAGAGCACTTGTATGTATTTGCTAATTAACTTACAAAAAAGCTGTTTTTAAATCAGGACCTACGTGACAGGGGTCCATGCCCCTCCAAAGAAGGAAAAATGCCTGATTGATATTTTGATTGGACTAAAGCCTGCATAAATACCTTGTGGACACGAATGTCTTATCCAGGATTGGGCAGGGGGCTGACTTCCTTAAACCTACATATCTATATAAACCCCTAGACAATAGCCACCCTTTGTTATCCCTCTTTGGGATTCCTCTCTCTTTGGGAACTCTACTTTTTTTTTTTCTATTACTCTAATAAAGCCTGTTACTTTACTCTCACCCTGTGTCTGTGGGTTTTATTCTTTGAATTCATGAGACAAAGAACCCAATCCCATGTTCCTTGCTACACCAGCTAGAGCGGTCATTGTCAGATGGCATGCAAGAGATGTTGCCTGGTCCCTGAAGAGGTGTCAGGCCTGGGACTTCCACATCTGGCTCAATTGCCTGTGGCTGGCCGGCTCCGGAGTGGATCCATCTATGACTGAGTAGCCTGTGGAACTGGCGTCTCACTGGGTATCCTAATACGGCACTCCTTCCTCTGTGCCCTAGTGGCTGCATTAGGGGCATCCTGAATTGTGTTGAGACAGTTTTGAGTGTGGAGATTTTAAATGTGAACTGAATAAATGTTTGGATAGTGTCCTGTGTGTTCTGAAGCTCCGCTCACTTGGGTTGTTTGGTTATATATAACCTCCTCTGTGGAGAGCTGTGCCCCCATGTAGCTAAGGAAGTTCTTTCTCTTAACCATAGAAGATGTAAGGCAGTACCTGCTCTGATGTGCATCTTATGGGTGATTTTGCTAAGCAGATCCTGGTCCCTTATGTCATTTCCAGCATCTCTGCAGTAACCTCTAGAATTGAGTCACACAGATTCTGCTAGAGGCAGGTGATCAGGAGAGAATGGAACTGGGAGCCCGAGTGAAGTTGGAGCATAACAAATATTCCTCCTTTTTTCAGTTCTTCCCCTTGCTGCTCATCCGAGTTTGTTTCCAGAAAAATGATTTCCCACATGAAGTAGGGTGAGAGATTCAAAACATTGTACCCAGGTTTGGTGACCTCATATAAGGTCTGGTGTCTCCCATTTTCTCTGTTGATCTGCTGACCAGCTTTGTCCTGATCTTCTGCCTTTTGTCCTTCCAGGGGTCCATGTCTCACCCCCAGATTTCAATGGGCAGTCTGTGGCAGTTCCAATTGTTGCCAGAGGAAGGATGGGACTGGGAGATCAAACACTGTCTCTTAATGAATACAGCACCAACTCCCAACAAACCACTGGATATTCATGGATTAGCCAAACAAATTTAACTTCTTTTTTACCAGAACAATCCAGTTTTCTTGGCCAGCAGGTAGCTTTTCTCCATTGTATGGTCCCACTCTTAGTATTATGGTTCATTTTTTATCTGTGTGATTTTTTTTACTTTAAGTTGATTTATTTCAGGTATTTTGTCATAGGAACAGAGAAGACTGAAAATTGACTAATACTGCTATACTACAGAAAACCACAGATGGAATTAATTTACAAACAACAGGAATTTACTTTTCACAGTTCTGGAGGCTGGGAAGTTCAGGATCAAGTTACAAGCAGGTTTGGTATCTAGTAAAGGCTATTTTCTTATAGATGACATCATCTAGATGTCCTTACATGCCAAATAGGATTGGGGCAAAGGGGGACCAACTGCTGTATCTTTGCCTGGTAGAAGAACAGATTAACAAACACACTGAACCCTCCACCCCCAAAAAAACTTTGTGGGGAGAACCTAAGCTATTTCACCAATTTTTGTATCTGCTTCCAACTTAACACCAATCAGAGAAAGTGAAATATCTTTAAGGAATAACGTAAGATGCACCACTCCTAGTTAGCCTGCCTACAGCTTCCATGCTTACAACCTCTAACAAGGGAACACTTGAAGCCTCTTTTTTTTCCCCCTGCAATATAGCCTTCCTGCTCTTCTGTTTTCAACTCTCTGCCAAAAAGCAAGTGATCTAGATGACTCCTTTCCTACAGCAAGATTAGAATAAATAGTCTTTGCTCTCACCCCCACCCCCTATTGAGTATTGAACCCACAGGTGCTCTACCACTTAGCCACATCCCCCCAGGTGTTTTTTATTTTGAGACAGGGTCTATGTTGATAAGGCTAGCCTCAAACTTGCAATCCTCCTACCTCAGCCTCACAAGTCTCTGTGATTATAGGGGTGTGTCATCGTGCCCAGTTGCTTTTCTTATCTAGTTGGTCAACATTTATTCATAGATCCTTCAATATAGAATTGACAAAGACTCCCTCCTTGACCAAACTTTAATCAGTTTCCTCTGAGCCCTCCTCTAGTTTTAGCAAAGAATCCTGCTGAATCCAATTTGTAGAAAGAATCCTGCTGAGCCTGTTTAGCAAGAATTCTCTACTCTTCATATCTAAGCAAGTTTCTTTTGGTAAATTTCCCATCTACTGACTCCTTAGTGCTGCCTCTTGGCTAAAAATTTTTCAGCAAATCATTCTGTATTTGGTATTGAGCTTGGTTCCAAGCTGAAGTCTTTCTTCCCTAATGCAATGTATGGAATAAATCTGATTGTTCATGTTTTCAGTGCTGGCAATTGTATGCAAGTGTGCTCTACCACTGAGCTACATCCTCAGTCCTTTATATTTTTTTTATTTTGAAACAGGGTCTCACCAAGTTGTCGAGGCTGTTCTCTCCTGCCTCAGGCTCCCTGTGTGCCACTATGTCTGGCTCAAACTGATATTTTTGAACACTACTTGAAAGCACAGAATATTGGAATTGGTTTCTGTGGGATTCTGGGACTTTTTCTAATTAAAAAAAAGAAATACTGGCTAAGCACAGTGGCATGAGCCTGCAATCCCAGCAGCTCAGAAGGCTGAGGCAGCCTCAGCAACTTAGTGAGTCCCTAAGCAACTGAGTGAGACCCTGTCTCAAAATAAAATATAAAAAGTGGCTGGTGATGTGACTTGGTGGTTAAGTGCCCCTCGTCCAATCCCTGGTACCTTAGCTAAGGAATACAAGATAGAAAGGAGAACCATTGATAAGTGAAAAATACTGTAACAAAAATTTAAAAATCCAATGAAGAGTCCCAAGTTCAGAATAGCTCAAAAGGAAAAACTATCAGTAAACAGTAAGATGGAGAAGAGAAATTGTATAATCTAAAAGCTGAAAAATAGATTGGAGGAGAATAATGCACAGAGTCTTGAGGACCTATGAAAGAATGTAAAAAGGTCTAACGTTCATGTTACCAAAGTGTGAAAGAAAGAAAGACGATAACACTGAATCAATAGCCAAACAAATAAATGACCAATTTGGCAAGAAACAGAAACGTACAGGTTTGAGATGTTGGACAAACACAAACGGAATTTAAAAAAAACCTAAAAGAACTTTATGACAAGATTCATGGCAATCCAACTTTTAAAAATTAAAGAAACTACTTACAAAGAAAAACAGAAGGATAACAAATTACCAACAGGGTGAACTAATTCAGATGACAGTAGAGTTCTCATCGGAAAACACGGAGACAGAATTAAGTGGCACAGTGTTTCAAGTACCGAAGAAACAAGGGTCAAGCCACATTCCTCCACAGCAACAAGCAGCTTGTAGCAATTAAACGGAAATCAGAAGATTCTCAGATTGAGGAAACCCAAGGGAACCTGTCACCCACCCTTCTACCATAAAAGAATGCCCCTAGGAGCTCTCTAAACAGAAAGGAAAGAATAAAAGGAAATTTGAGATATCAGAAAGAAAGGGGGGAATAATCAAAATAACATTTCCTTCTCTTGAGTTCTCTAAATTATGTTTGGTGGTTTAAGAAAACTCATACACTGTTTGACATGGTTCTACATTGATGTAAAAGAAGTGTTTAAAATAATGACTCTACAAACAGAAGTATAAAGAGATATAAAAGGCAAGTAAGCTTTCTGTAGCTCACTTGAACTGGTAAAATAATGACATTGATGTACTGTGCCTCTCTATATAGACAGAAACCTAAACCGCTATATAAACCAATCTTATCAAAAACACTATGGATACAGCAATGTGTAATTATCTGTGTGAATTTTAACCCCGAAGGCTTGTTAAAATATTGATTTCTGTTTCCTCTCTGCATGTTTTCAATTTTGTAGGTAGAGCCCACACCTGAGAATGTACATTTGGAACATGTTCTCAGGTGGCAAGCACTGTGGCTCTGGAGACCTGTGAGAATCAATGCTCTGGGGTAACAAGAGTGAGAAAAGGCAACTTTCTCTTGGTTGTTGATATGGAAGTAGCATATATCACCTCACCTGTGTGGACACACTTAGGTGCCAGGCTGGGTTATGGGGAAAGAACAGTCTTGGTGGTCATCTCCCAATCCCTGCCATGTCTAGCAGACATCATATTTCTGCAAAAAGCCCTATTATAAGGTCTGGCAAAACCACCACCTCTTTCAGTGACACTGATCTTATTGGTGGCGTGTAAACCAGGAAAAATGCCTTTCTTTTCTTAGGTTTCTCCCAGAATTCCTTGATTTAGGTCCAGCTTATGTATCACTTTCTTAAAAGGATGGTCCCTAATTCCCTAGTCATACTATTTTTTCTCCCATCTTGTACTTTTAACATCTTTCCAGATGCTCACATCAATAGTGATTGTGGAACTCTCTAGTGTAGGCAGAGGTGCCAAGGATCTGGTCGGGGCCCTCACCAGCCAGGTTCTGTGGGCACTGTCATACCCTCAGAGCCACTTGGGATGCTTGCATGGGCCCTGCCACCCTGGGATCCGAGGTTGTCTTTGGAGCCGTTGGCTGCGCGCGTGCTGAAGCGCCACCACAAGTCAGAGACGCATCACAGCACGCGCCAGAGACGCTGTCCTGAGCCAGCCCGCCCGAGCCAACCCCGCAGGCCTCAGGTGGCCCCGGGACTCATGGCCACCGGGCGAGGATCCTTGAGGTCCTGGTTCCTGAGTTGGCACCTGCTGCTGCTTCTGCTACCGCCAAACTCCGGTAAGGCAACGCCTTCTGGTCCATCCTCCGCCCCTCTCGCCCCTGTCCTGCATCTGGGACTCTCTGTCCCCATACCAGCCCAGTGGCCACTTGTGCTCTATTAGCCCTCCCAGGATCTCTGCAGGGGCTCCCAGTGATCTGAAACCCCTGTCCTCTCTGGCCTCCTCTCTGGGTCCGCACCTGCCCTCCAGCCTCCTGGGACGCCAGTTCGGAACACCTCTGTCTTGTGACTCCTCCGCATCCTGCCGCTTCTCCCCCCCTCGCCCCGCCCCTGCCAGTCTGGACTCTGTGACTAATGTCCTGACCTCCCTGGCGCCCTCTCCCCAGCACCTTTGGAGCCTCACACTCTCCTGCTCCCCATCCTCTGCTCTTCCCCAGTAGCTAGTTCCACTCGATTCTGCTGGTTTGACTCAGGCATGTTCCTGAACCGCTCAAAGGAGTATTCTAAAATTCACCTTCTTCTCAGGCTGTTAGGCTTCATGCTTCCATCCCACCTTATCCTTGCCCCATTCCTTTGTCTTTATTAAACCTGACCTTTTTACTGCTCCCTTCATTTTCTTTATTTATTTTGGCTTTCTGATTCTCCTCTACCTCAGGACTAACCCTCTATCTCCTCAGCCTCTGCCCCAGGCCCCCTCCAGCTCTGCTCACCCCTGACATAGGGGTATCCCCTAAGGCTCTCCTAGTTCCCTGCTCCTTTCCTGTTTACTGCTCACTGGGTGAACTAACTCACCCTGGGCTCTAAGCTGACATTTTATGTGATAATGCTTCATAAAACAATGTGCCACTTGCTGAAGTCTCCACCCAAATGACCTAGAAACATCTGGACTCTTGGGGGTTCAAAGCAGCCTCACCTTACAAACTGGCCTCTCTTACTCTGTAATCCCAAATCTCCCATCCAGCTCTCCATGTCTGGTCTCACACCAACTTCCTCCTCCAGAGCTGCTCCTCTCTTGTCTGGTTCTGCAGTATCTCCAGTGGGATCTCAGAGCTTTCAGTCCTTTACCTTCCTGGCTATATTACAAACCTGGCACTGCCACACCTTTATTGGCGTCCCAGAGGGTCTTAACCAGCTTCTTGGCCAGGTGCTCAAGGACCTCTGTGGTTGGCTCCTGTGCTCCTTTCCTGGTATCATCTGTCTCTAGCTATCACAGGTCTTGCTTTCATCCTCTGGAGTCTGCAGCATACACCACAATGTTTCTTCTGCCAGGAATCTCATCCCTTTTTCATTTCTGCTGTGTCTTGTCATCTTTAAGACCAGCCCCAGTAACCCCTCCTCTCAGAAGTCTCTTTTGTCCACCGCCTCTTCAGGGCTCATCTGACACCTGGGGTCTGTCACTCTGATCTCACATGAGTGATTGTGTACTTAGGTCTACCTCCTGTGCTGGGCATAGTGTTTCTGGAGGGACAGCTCTATGTGACACATGGGTTCCCGCCATCTACCTCCAAGCTAGGCTCATGCAGGAGATGAGGGAATATTTGGAGAATACATAAGTGAACTAATTAATGAAAACATGCACGTCTTGGCTGTCATCATGCCACCAGCTTTTGCTTCATCTCTAGCTATCTTTTCTCCTTCAGGTTTCACAGATGACAGAACTACACCAGGTGAGTTCAGTGGGCCCCTGCCATAGGAAAAGCTTCAGGTCTTTGGGGGATGTGTTCGGAAGGGCATCACATTGATAGCATTTCTGGGTTGGTAGGAACCAGGAATATTCTAGCAGGGCTACTTTTCAAAGAACAACCTGTGACTACCAAGATATATGGACTTAAAAATCCAGGGGAAAAATCTACTGGGACTCCATGGGAATGCAGACTCTCTTTGAATTCAGACCAGGCTGCATCCTCTCTGGGGACATGTCCAGGAGGCTACACTTTTCCATGTGTTTTGGGGTTCTAAACTGTGCAGTTGCAGCTGGAGCCTCCTGGGCCCTGGGGCCCTGGGGCATTGTCTGCAGAGCCTGGCTCTTGGGTTTCCTATCTTTTTCCTTATATATCAGGGGCAAAGGCTTGGGTTTCTCCTGTCCTTTGGATTCACAAACCTCCATTGTCTCAGGTCTTGCCAGGCTCTACTCTGATTCATTATTGATTGTTTGGTGGATTGATTAAATTAAATTGATTAAATTGCTCTGCCCTTTCGCCACTCCTATTCCCTTTCTCCTCACCTTCTCCAACTTTTTTCTGATACGTTCCATGTGTTCTTTGTGTGTTCTTATAAAAATACATATTGCTGTCATGTGTATTTTTTGTTTATTATTCGTTTATTTTTAATGTGGTGCCAAGGATCAAATCCAGTGCCTCAGGCATGCTAGGCAAGTGCTCCACCCCTGAGCCACAACCCTGGCCCCATGTTTCCTCATTTAGCCCCATTAAAAATGTCTTCATTTGGAAATAAGCGATGTATGAAGTTGTTCATATTGCCCCAGACCTACCACTCTTTTTTTAAAATATATTTTTAGTTGTAGATAGACACAATATTTTTATTTTATTTACTTATTTTCATGTGGTGCTGAGGCTCAAACCCAGTGCCTCACACCTGCTAGGCAAGCACTCTACCACTGAGCCACAACCCCAGCCCCCAAACTTCTTGATTTTGATGTAATCAAGTTAGTTTTGTTTTATGGTTTGTGGAGTGTGTGTGCGTGTGTGTGTGTGTGTGTGTGTGTGTGTGTGTGTTACCAGGGATTGAACTCAGAGGTGCTTTACCATGAAGCTACATCTCTACCCCTTTTTATTTTTATTTTGAAAGGGAGTATTGCTAAGTTGCCCAGGTTGGCTTTGAACTTGCAATCCTCTTGCTCAGCCTCTCAGTTAGCAGGGAGACAGATGTGCACCATTAGCCCAGCTTGGTTTGTATTTTGGGGCTTTAAGGACTCTTTCCCACCCATGGCACACAGTCTGTTAACTTCACAGTTTTACCTTTACCTTTAGGTCTTCAAGCACTATTAATGAGGAATCTTTTCTTAGTTCATTCATAGTAAGCTAGTTTTCACACCACCTACTCAATGGTTCTTTATGCATTGATTATGGTGACCTGTTCATTTACATCAAGTTCCTGAGTTGGTCCATCTGTCTGTCCATGTGTCAGCACTATACCATTCCTGTTGTTTTGGCTTTCATGTGGGTCTTAATATCTGCCAGCACAGAGGCCCTTCTTTACTGGGATTTTTCAATGATTGAATTCTTTCCAGACCTTTATTTTTCTATGTCAATTTTAGAACAAGTTTATCAAGTGTCTTAACAATTCTAACTTAGAAAATGAATTATAGATTAATTCTGGGAAAATTATATCTGAAATACTTAGTCATTCTCTTTCACAGAAAGGACCATCTCTCCATTTATGTTGATTATTTTCTGTGTCCTTTATTAGAGTTTTAAATTTATCACTGCACAGTCTTATGTGGTATTAGGTTAATTTCTATGTACTTGTAATTTTTTTTTTTTTTTGCTACTGAAAATGTGTTTTGAGTGTATTTTCTTGGTGATGGTGCTGGCGCAGAGAAATAGTAGTGATTTTAAAAGTAAATGATTTCATGCAAGGTATTATGTACATACAATAAAGTGCACAAAATGTGACTGGATCTAGGAATTATCACCATGAACACACCTGTGTCCTCAACCAGCCAGGTTAAAAGGCAGAACAGGACATCCCCTTTAGGCTCTCAAAAATTACTTCCTCTGCCCCTTCTCACAGAGTCTCCTTATCCTGGCTTCTGATAGTGTAGATTTTTTTTTTTTTTTGGTCTTTCTTCAACAGTATACGATGTTTCCTATAGGTATTTGACATATCAAAAGTTATAAATTTCCTTTGTTTTTCTTTTTTTTTCAAGTCGTAAGTATGCATTGAATGTTTAAACACCCTTTTTTTCTGTCTCTTGAGAAAAGCACAAAATCTCTCTCCCTCCAGATCATGAGAATTGTTCATGTGGAGAAAGCATTGGAACTTGTCCAAGGGTGGGACCACCCTTGCACTCCTGGGACAATCCCTATGTGATCAAGGAGTGTTGTTTTTCAAAATATGATGTTGGCTAATATTTTATTTAGAATTCCTGCATCTGTGTTCATTCAAACATTCATTCACACAGTCACACATCTTGGCTGATTAAACTAGTGTGTGAACTGTGAGTGGGGACCTCGGTGGGCTCCAGGCTGCTTGATGTAAAGACTGCAGCAAACTTGTAGCTTTTCAGGATATGCATTTCTCTGCTTAGGATTCCTTCTCTGCTTCTCCCTTATTTTGAAGTCCTGCGCTGGTTGCTCTGGTGAATCTCAGTATCTCTCTCCTGCTGTGAACTCTCTATGTCCCTTTCTTGATGCTCGTATCTGTCATTGTCACTTTGTCTAGCTTACTGCCTTTGGGCAGGCCACTTGCCTCTCACCCTCAATCTCCCTCTCTGAAATGGGAAGAAGCCCCTGACTTTACAGCATTATGCAAATTGGCCTTGGAGGGCTTCTTGGTTCTGGTCATTCTTATCCTCCTCTATGTGGTCACTGTGTCTCTCTGATATGCTAGTTTCTGAACTTTGTGGTGAACCCTGGTGGACACAGGATTCGGACCAGCCCCGCCATTGGCCCTGGGAGGTGAGCCTCCGGACAGACAGTGAGCATGTGTGTGGAGGGTCCCTCATTGACTCCAAATGGGTGGTGACTGCTGCCCATTGCATCAAAGGGTGAGTGTTGTCTATGGGTCCAGGGCCTGGAGATTCAGAGCTACAATGGACCCAGCCCAGTTTCCTTATTTCTTTGTGGAAGGAGGGGGGTGGGAAAGAGTGGGAAGTGGTGGCCAGCACAGGAATGTGTCATACTCAGGATCTGAGAGGCAGCCAGGGACTGACTGGGGCAGGAATCTCAAGCAACAAAGATTGTATTCTAAGCTGGGAAGTAGGAAAACCCAGAACCCCCCTCCCACAGGAATACATTTATGTGGGCATCTATACCCACAAACCTGCAGCATGCCACAGAGAACAGGCCATCTTCAGTCAACTTGAATAAAGAAGGACGAGGCAGGCAGATACCTCTCTCTGAGACCTCCAGGGTAGATTAGGCAAGGTGGAGTGAGCACAGCAAGTCAGGCAGGACTTCTGATAAGGGAGAGGGTCCTTGGAAGAGGTAGGGACATACTAGTCTGGGAAACTGATATCTGCCAAGTGGGGCTCTGTATCTCCTGCAGCTCCAAAAACTACACAGTGGTACTTGGTACTTCCAAGCTGAACCCATTGAGATACGAAAAGGTCATCTGGATCCCTGTGAGGGACATCATTGTGCACCCCAAGTTCTGGGGTCGAACATTTGTCGTGGGTGATATCGCCCTTCTCCAACTCCTCACTCCCGTCACCTTCAGCAAGTATGTTCAGCCCATCTGTCTCCCAGAACCCAACTTTAACCTGAAGATTGGCACACAGTGCTGGGTGACTGGCTGGGGCCAGGTCAAACAGCGCTTTTTAGGTGAGCGGGATGGAGTGGGGTGGGGGCATGAGGTCAAAGTGACTGTCACCTCTAGTCCTTAGTTCTTTAAATGGGTTAGGACCATGTCTCCCATGGTGACCATTGTCATGGTTTCCATGGCCACTTCATTCAGGTTAGCCCTCTCTAGACTGGGTGTAATCATCTTCCTCTTACAGAAACTCAGGGTCAGGGGTTTATAAGTTCACTTTCTCCCTCGTTCACTCACTTGGCGCACTTTGGGCATCTGACACACACCCAGCCCCTGCCATTGAAAATGCATGCCCTGCCTGGAAGGGAGTCACAGCAGTATGTGGTGTGCATGGTGTGTGGCGGTGGAATTGGGGAGAACAGGCTGACAAAAACCTGGGGAGATCTGGGCTGAGCTCTGGGCAGAGGGACTGCTTGAGATGTCTGAAGGAGGAGCAAGTGTTAGTCAGGGGACAGAGGGAATAGCTGGTACAAACCTATCAGTCTGGAGAGAAATGGCACATGGTTGGGGTCCCAACTTATAAGTGGCCACCCTGGAACTTGATGAGGGCTAGCTTGGTTCAGAGAAGAGGATCCCTAACCAAAGTCTGAGAAGGTAAGGGGTCTATACTTAGGGTAGACACTGCAAGGGGAAGGACCGAGTGAAAGAGGGGATGGAATTGTGACAGGGCATGGCTTGACTGAGCCTCAAGATTGGAGGTGACAACATCTTGGGCAGAGGTCAAGGTTGAGTGAGGTGAAGGGTTGTTGCTCACCCAACTGAGCTCCTCCACAGCCAACTCCACGCTGACCACAGAGCTGCAGGAGGCCGAGGTGTTCATCATGGACAACAAGAGATGTAACAAGATTTATCGCAAGCTTTCCGTTATCCCCCGAATTACCCGCCTTGTCCAGGGAGATCTGGTCTGTGCCACCAACTATGGAGATAACTTGTGCTCTGTGAGTTTGGGAGGTGCAGGTTCTGGTAGCTCTCCTGCTAGTAACTCCTGGGTGGGGGCCAGTTCCCTGGGATAGGGCTTGCTTAGTTCCCTCTCAGTTACTATCAGGATCTACTCTCACCTTCCTTCACCTGAAACTTTGACATTGGCTGCTATTCTGAGTTGGGTTTCTAACTGAGGAGCAATTAACAAGAACGGCTCTCAAATAGAACTCAGAGGGCGGGTACTCTGGGTTTCCTGGGGTTCAGGAGCCTCCTTCACTCCTCTCTTCTCTACAGGGAGATTCTGGGGGACCATTGGCTTGCGAAGTCAACGGCCGATGGGTCCTGGCTGGGGTGTTGTCCTGGGAGAAGGCCTGCACCCAAACACGGAATCCGGGAGTGTTCGCTCGCATCACCAAATATAGCCAATGGATCAAGAAGCAACTGAGCCATGGAACTCTGACTGGTCCTTGCAGCTCCTCCTGGCTCCTATTCCTGTCCTCGCTGCTGTGGCCTCTGATGGGCCCCTGACTTCACCCCTTCCTCTGCCTGCTTTGCCTCTGCTGGATGGCAACAGATGGGGGGGTTGGTCCAAGGTCACATGTCCATATTCAAGGGTAGGGAAAGAGTGGCCCCTTGGAAACTGGGTCCTGCTTTGGCATCCCAGCAGGGAAGGGCGTGGTGAATGACTAAGCCCTGGGTGAGAAAAAGGGGGAGTATGATACAGAGAGTTCTGGAATCTGGGACAAAGATAGTAGAGTTTAAATTTAATGCAAAGTGAGCTGGTTCTTTTTTCTGTTCGCTGGAGCATCCCTGGGGGTTGGGAGTAGGTGGGAGGTCAGGGCCTCCTGGAATTAATTCTGCCAGGGAGCTCCCAAATGGGAAGCTGTCTCTCTCCAGTGTTGGAGCATAGGAAAAGGACCTGGACCTGCAACCTTGGTTCTTTCATCTGTACAGTGGGTATATTACTGTAAGGGAGGAGTCAAAACATGCCTTATAGGCTGACAGTAGGAATGATCCACAGAGAGTACTCTGAACACAGCTTCCTATTTTCTTTAAACTAATTGTAAAAGTATTATATGTTCATCATAGAAAGCTAGGAAATACAGTGAAGCCCAGAGAAAGGAAACCTTCCCCAGTCCCACCACACAGAGATACACACTCTTCTCATTTTGATGTATTTCCTTCTATGTTCTTTTCTTATTAAAAAAAATATTTCAAGCAATATATAAATACATTCTTGTTGTGATTTATTTTTAAAATTCAGAGATTGTATATAAAGATTCCTCTTTTCTCATCTGGCTCCCACTGGTTCTGTTTTCTGCCCCCAGAAGTAATCATAGTAATCATAGAATTTCTTTTTCTATATGGTGTGAGGTAGGGACCTAACTGTTTCTAACCCAAGAACTTATTTTGTTGTCACCATTTATTTTGTATAGTCCATCCTTTTCCTGCTGATTTGAATTTCCACACTTATAATGAAATCCCAATTTATTTATGCTTTCATTTTTGAACTCTTATTATTTTCCCACTGACCTTTATGCCCCTGGACTAATACTGTACTGTTTCCATCACTTTGTTGTATTTCTTTAAATTGTAGCAACAATTCTCCTCTTTCTTTTAAATAAAATATTATCTGTTTTTCCCATATAAACTCTAGAATCAGCTTGCCAACATCCATTACAAATACTAATGGCTGGGAAAACTGATTATATGTAGAAGAATGAAACTAGACCCTTATCTCTCACCCTGCACAAAAAATCAACTCAAAATGGATCAAAGATCTAGAAATTAGATCAGAAACTATGCAATTCCTAGAAGAAAATGTAGGGTCAACATTCCAGCATGTAGGCACAGGCAATGACTCTCTCAGTAGAACCCGTAAACCTCAGGAAACAATGCCAAGAGTTAATAAATGGGATGGCATCAAATTAAAAAGCTTCTGCACAGCAATGTTAACAATTGGGAAGAATTGTTACAGAATGGGAGAAAATCTTCACTAGCTATTCTTCTGACAGAATATTAATATCTAGATGAAATAAAGAACTCAAAAAACTTTACATGAAAAAATCAACCCAATTAATAAATGGACAAATGAATTAGATACTTCTCAAAGGAAGAAATACAAAAGGTCAACAAAAATATAAAAAAGTGTTCGACATCATTCAAATTAGGCAAATGCACATCAAAACTACACTGAGATTTCATTTCATCTCTCACTAGTCAGAATGGCAGTCACCACGAATATGAATAATAAATGCTGGAGAGGATGTGGAGAGAAAGGTACACTTTTACATCGTAGGTGGGATTATAAAAATTAGCACAACCTCTATGGAAATCAGTATGGAGTCTCCTCAAAAGAGTAGGCATTGAACTACCCTATGACACAGCTAAACCACTCCTCAGTATTTATCCTAAAGAATTCAAGTCACCATACTACAGTGACACATGCATATCCATGCTTATAGTGGCACAATTCAGAATACCCTATAAAACCATGAAACTAGTCTAGGTGTTCATCGACAGATAAATGGATAAAGAAAATGTGGTACATATACACAATGAAGTTTTATTTAATCATAAAGAAAAATGAAATTATGTCATTTGCAAGCACTAAAGACCATTACAACAAGCAAAATAAATGAAACTGAGAAGGTCAAGGTTCATGTTTTCTCTCATATGTACATACTTAGGAAAAAGGAAAAGAAAGATAGGAAGATGTTATGAAAATCAAAGGGACTAAGGTGTGGGAGGTGGGGAATATAGCAGAGGGAAGTGCTGGGGGATAATATTGGCCAAATTATATCATTGTAGCATGTGCATGCATGAATATGTAACAACAAATCCCATCAATGTGTATAATCATAATGTGTCAATTAAAAAAAGGTGGAGAAAAATGAAATTGCAGAACACTTCTCAAAAATACACTATTGGTATTTGTTTAGAATTAAATATACATAGTATTTTGGGGAGAACTCTCATTTCTACAGAGATATATATCATTTCTAACCAGAGATATATTTCTCCATTAGTTCAGCTCTTTTTTTATCTTTTCAGCAGTTTGAGAGTTTTATTCATGGATATCTGGGTAGGTATTAAGTTTACTTCTAAGTACATTGCAAATTTTGGTTGTATTGTAAATGATATATGTTCTCATTACCTTTTGCACAATTCTACATGTCAGGTATTATAAAGCTATTGGTGGATTTTTAGAGGTAGTGATCTTGATTTCTGGTTGACTTGCAGAACTGTTTTATTATCTTTTTTGCAGTGCTGGTGGACACAATATCTTTCATTATTTTTATGTGGTGCTGAGGATCGAACCTGGGGCTTCGCAGGTGCTAGGCGAGCGCTCTACCACTGAGCCACAATCCCAGCCCCTAAAACTATCTTTTCAATTCAGTAGTTTTGTAGTTGGTATCTCTCTATCCAGGTGACCAGCACCCCAAGAGAGAAGGTTTCTGCCCAGGAGATGTGAGCTGCCTGGGAAAATAAAAAGTCTGAAATAATCAGGAAGAAATAAAGACAAGAGGTAGGAATTAGATTTAAAACAGAGCGCCTGATGGGTCTTCCAGTCCTGATAGGAGCTGGAAGTGAAAACTGAAAAAAGGCTCCAATTATTTAAGGGGGAGCACATCAAAGGCAGGGGTAAGGTTTCAGTGGAAGGAGTCCTGTTTCGGTGCTTGCTTCTGCGTGTGGTCTCATAGTAGACAGGTTGATTGGCATTTTGGCAAGCCACACCCATCTCCAGGAGCTATTAGAACTTGAGCAGTGAGCTTGGTAGGACGCCACATGAACTAGGCATTCTCAAGGCAGCTGTTTCCTATTGGGAGTTCCTGATTCCAAGCTTTCCTACCTATTGGCTCCAACATTGCTCAGTTTACCTACAGCTCACAGATGGCTCCTGGCAGTTCTCTTCACTTATTTGGGATTAATCAAATCAACTCAAATGGTAACAGGTTCTATTTGTCCTTTCTGAAAATCAAACCATTCATTTCTTTTTGTTATGTTATTGCCTGAAACTCCAGCACAATTCAAAATAGCAGTGATAATACTGGGAGTACCCAGGATGGCCTTTACTTCATTTGTTCATCCAGCCCACAGATATTTATTCAATAGAATCTTCTTTGTGCCAGAGACTATCTTGGGTCCTGCCGATGCAACAGTGGACTATTAACGTGATTTTATGGTTCTTATTTATTCACATACTGAATTACACTACTAGGTCAATAGTAATCCTAGGTAAATTTGAATGCCTAAAATCCTAGGCATTCAATTTGTTGCCATTTTGCTTAGAATCTTTTTTTTTTTTTTTTTTTTTTTTTTTTTTTGTGGTGCTGAGGATTGAACCCAGGGCCTTGTGCATTCGAGGCAAGCACTCCACCAAATGAGCTATATCTCCAGCCCCCTGACAAATTGCATAGGTGACCAATCTTTGACTTTGACTATTTCAAATTTTCTTTTATTTTTATTGCTTTAGTCTGGTTTCCCACCTCTTTGCCCAACTCGTCTTTAGATTAATTATATCCAGAAAATTTGCATGACATTAAAAAAAATGAGCTATTTTCTCCAACATTATAGTAGAATGCAAAGAAAGTTTTTTTTTAAAAAAATCCCAGGAAACCAACCTTAACCAGAAATTATAGACCTTATCTTTTGACATATGTCCTTGTAACATTATTCTTTTCTGTGCAACCAGTTTTGCACAAAAAGAGGGGAACTGGTTTGCATTTCAAAGAGCTCGCTCTATGAGCAGGATTGTAGGAAAGAAGGTCAATGAGTACACTTTGGAGGCCCACCAGGGCTTAAGGGGAAGCTACTGAGAGTAATGGTCAGAGAGTTGCAGGATAATGCTAAAGGATAAGGGAGAGACCAGCAAGGTCTTGAGCTTGCACCCCAGTAGAGAGCTCTTTCCCAGGTATTGTCAAGGCCAAGGCTGGGCAGCAGGGTCATGCTGAGAGCTGCGTTAGGGGCTCTGTCTGGGCTCAGTGTTGGGCACCAGCAGTACCATTCCAGGAAGGTTCCTGACAGCAACATCATCTCATGGCCCTGGTAGGGCCTTGCCATGACCATCCAGTCTCCTTCTCAGAGTCTCACTGCTACTGCAGCTGGATAAGCCCAACCTTGGGGCAGAAACCCATATTCTGCTGTCCTGAATAAACCATGAATTCTAGAATCCTCACACAATGGAGATGCCCCGCCTTCCTTGTCCCCACTTTCCATCAAAAGAAACAGTAAGGGCCAAACATCGGCTTGCCGTGGCATGTGGGCCAGGGAATCTTCGGGGTTATATCAGACCTGCATTGTTCTCTGCCCGACTTGAGAATCTGCCCTTTGTGGAAGGTAGGGCTTCAAGGTGTGGATGGAGGCCGAAGGGGTCTGTCTGCCTGGGCACCTATGTCAGTTATCCTCGTGCCTGGAGGGCCTTGCTAGGTCTATATCCTGAGGTGTACATCCTCAGCAGACTGAGAGGATGGGTGTGGGCTGTGACCTCATGGGGACCTGCCATATGATATGATGTTGGGCCAGTT